CATAATTCTTTGACTTGCTTGTCAGACTAACGCATTTTAAAATTTCAAATAGCATTAAAGATGGTGAGATTGTTTTGGGGGTGGGGTGTGTGTGTGTGTGTGTGTGTGTGTGTGTGTGTTTTAATCTAAATGGTACAAAAGTTTTTAAAGCCTGAGAAACTGAGCTAGATCCGTAAGGGTAAACCACATTTTATTCATTTCTGTATTCTCAGCACCCAGCACAGGACCAGGCACAAAGTAAGTGAGAGTAAATGTTTGCTGAATGAATTAATATGCCCACAGTCATGATGCCAACTGCTCTGGAATTAAACATGCTAATTAGAACAGAGCAGGGCCTAAGCACTAAACAAAGCTTCTTCTCTTCCTTTCTTTATCCTTCCTCCTAGCCCACCCCATTCTGTCCTCCCTAGTTAAAAAAGAGCAAAAAAGAGTGAAAGCAAGAGAACAAGAGAGAGAGACAGAGAGAGAAAGAGAAAAAGAGAGACAGAGAGAGAATTGCCTTGGTGCCGGAATACCATTAAAAGGATTAATTTAGGGACCGGTGTTTGGACTGTCACATCCAATCACTACCCACAGATCTACAGCTTCCCAAATCAGGCTCATGCAAAGAAGAATCAATTGCAAGGACACAGAGGGTCTGAACAGGCATACTAATGGCCTCCTGAGGTGCCAGCGGCCAGCTCTGACACTCCCATAAATTATCTTCCTTTTGATTTTACCTGTAGCTGTGGGGCACAAGGCACAATTTTGAACATATCAAAGCAATCCTTGGTAACCTAAGGCTCCTCAAGGAATGTCCCCAAAGAGGAAAGGCTAAAAACAATGACCCAAAGGGAATCTGCTTTCCAACAGTTCTGGTTCTAGCAATCATTAACTAAAACCCAATAGAACCAAATGGATAAAGTAAGACCCAAACCAAGCTCAGTAGATCTGGACAAGGCATGCCTCAGGCTGCAGTCCTGCAATGACTACGCAGCTCTCACTCAAGGAAAGCGAAGTCACGGCAATAAACTAACACACTTTCATCTGGAGGCAAATCTGCCCTAGCTTTGACAGTACACAGAAGCATGACCTCAGGCAACTCATTTAACCTTCCTGGGCCTCAGTTTCTTCATATGGTATCAAGGACAAGAATGCTGACCACCTGACCCACTTACCAGAGTGCTGGTGAAAAGTAATTTTAAAAAATTTGAGAGGCACTTTACAAAGATGTAAGGCCACAGGGTGGCAACACTAATAAATGACCCCAGACAGACAGGGAGGAATGGCTGGTCACACTTTGGTGAATTTCTACCAGGAAGTTGCTCACTCGATTTGCTTTACTGATGGTGTTGGGACTAAGGTCCACACTGAAAAAAGTTCTGGGATTCTGTTTTTTGTTTTTTGTCTTGAGACAGAGTCTCACTCTGTCGCCCAGGCTGGAGTGCAATGGCTCAATGTGGGCTCACTGCAATCTCCACCTCCCGGGTTCAAGCAATTCCCCTGCCTCAGCCTCCTGAGTAGCTGGGACTACAGGTGTGCACCACCACACCTGGCTAATTTTTTATATTTTTGTAGAAACAGGGTTTCACCATGTTGGCCAGCCTGGTCTCAAACTCCTGACCTCAGGTGATCCACCCACCTCAACCTCCCAAAGTGGTAGAATTAGAGGTATGAGCCACCACATCCTGCCAGTTCTGGGATTCTGAATGGAACACTGGTTGTCCAAAAATTTTCCATTATGAAGAGCGGTGCCTTGCTTTAGTAAATTCCTCCTGTCTGCTGGTTGCCACCACAAGTGGCTACATTTTTATCATATGTTCACAATGACAACTGTAAGGACCCAAAAAATACAAAGCCAAAGGCCAAGTCACCCAACTACTGGCTGCTTTTTAAAACATATTAATTATATAAAATACTGTTAGTGATAAAAGTTATCAAGACACTGTGTGAAGAGTTTTAAATTATTAAATCCTTCAGCCAACTCGATTAAGTCTCATTATCTCCATTTTACAGATAGCAAGTGAAGCTCAGAGAGGTAAGTCACTTGTCCAAGGTCACTTAACACTGCTATCAGAAACCTATACTGGGGCTTATAGGATGAAGACCTCCTGCAAAGGGAAAGCAGGAAGAAAGGGAAAGTGCAGGCATGGGACTCTCACCTATTCAACGGACACTCACCAAATACAGTATTTTATTTGGTCCCTGTCCTTGACATATACCATCATACCTGAACTAGGAGGCATTTCCAAAACCAGGAAGAGGTCATCTGTCTGCTACAAGCAAGGAAAGGAGAGACCAAGTAGGACATAGATAGAATGAGAGCAATTCCTTGGAAAGCTTAGGAAAACGGGTCATCCTCTGTGTGTACAGTTCAAGAAGTTCAAATTAATTGGCATTAAGCTGTGAACCCTAAGACCAAGACTCTTTCCAGGGCTCTGTTTATTCCATATCTCCTGCATTAAATATAGTTTCCAAAGCCTTTTAATTTTTTTCTTTTTTTGAGAGTCTCGCTCTGTTGCCCAGGCTGGAGTACAGTGGCACAATCTCACTCAGCTCACTGCAACCTCCACCTCCAGGTTCAAGCAATTATCATGCCTCAGCCTCCCAAGTAGTTGGGATTACAGCCACATGCCACCACATCCAACTAATTTTTGTATTTTTAGTAGAAATGGGGTTTTGCCATGTTGGCCAGGCTGGTCTCAAACTCCTGGCCTCAAGTGATTCACTGACCTCAGCCTCCCAAAGTGCTGGGATTATGGGTAAGAGCCACTGTGCCCAGCTCTTTCAATTCATTTTATAGCAACTTTCCCTTTCTACATGTTTTCCAGTCTGTAAAATAGGAGTCAGTTTCTCCAACAAATTCTTTGGGAAGAAGTTAGTAAAAAGAAACATTATACTCATATATGCAAAGATTCAGTTATACTCAGTTTTTTTATTTATGAGAAAATCATAGCTATAGATCAGTGTTTGTTGTTTTTTGATTTTTGGTTTTTTTTGTAGAGATGGTTCTTGGTATGTTGACCAGATTGGTCCCAATCTCCTGCCTCAAGCCTCAGCATCCCAAAGTGCTGAGACTATAGGCACGAACTACCGTGCCCAGCCATGTACTCAATTTTTAAGAACCAAAACAAAGCCACGAAAGGGAAAAATAAAATGCTATCAGCCTCCTGACTAGTCTCTGCCTCCAGTATTGTCTGTTCCCTTCAATCCATTTTTCACAATGAAATCCGAGCAAACTTTTTCTTTTCTTTTTTTTTTTTGAGACAGAGTCTCACTCTGTCACCCAGGCTGGAGTGCAGTAGTACCATCTGAGCTCACTGCAACCTCCGCCTTCTGGGTTCAAGTGATTCTCTCACTCAGCCTCCCATGTAGCTGGGATTACAACGTTCCCCACCACGCCCAGCTAATTTTTGTATGTTTAGTACAGACAGGGTTTTGCCAAGTTAGCCAGGCTAGTCTCAAACTCCTGACCTCAAGTGATCTGCCCACCTCAGCTTCCCAAAGTGCTGGAATTACAGGCATGAGCCACCATGCCAGCCTGCCAACTTTCTAAAACACAAATCTAATGTCAGTCTACTGCTTAAAACCCTTTAATGGCTGCTTACTGTTCTTAAATCTGACCCAGAGGTCAGCAAACTATGTTCCATGGGCCAAATCTAGCTGCCAACTTTATTTATTTTATAAATAAAGTTTTACAGGAATACATCCATGCTTACTACTTTTCATACTATCTGTGGCTACTTTCACACATAACTGCAGAGTTGAGAAGTTGTGACAGAAACCCAAACCTAAATATTTACTACCTTATCCCTTACAGAAAAAGTTTGCAGAGCCCTAATCTAATCTTTTTTCTACCCCCTGGTCTAATCCTAAGAGTTTATAAGGCTAAGTCTCTGGCCTCTGCTTAACTCCTGCTTCATCTCTCCCCATATGCTCCTGTCCCCTGCCCACTAAGTACCGTTTCAACTACACTGAATTTTCTCAAATTCAATAAAGCCCTGACACTTGGTCCCTCATATCTTCATCTATGTCTTTTCTCTTTTTTTAAATTTTCAGTGTTGAGGGTTCGTTTAATTCTATATGAGGAGGTTACCACTTCTGAGAGGCCTTCCCTGAATCTACAAGTCTGCGTTAGACACCCTTCTGAGTATTCCTGAAGCTTCTACACCTCCCTTACTATAGCACTCTCAGACCATATCATAACCGCCTTTTTACTATCAGTCTCTCCCATGAATTTGTAAGTTCTATGGTGTCAGGGACAGTGGCTTCCTTGTTCACCACTACAATCCCAGGAACTAGCACAATGCCTGGCCCTTAGTTATTGAACAAATAGGCTCAAGTCCTGGATATCAATCATCCACAGTATGCCTCTTTAGCTGGTCCCTGATCCTTGTAAAATAGACAGGTTGAAACTAACCATCCACCAAAAGGTAACATGCAACGTAAATTAAACCAAGATCCCAGAGGTCTTGGTCAAATACATTAGCAAAAGCCAAATGACAGCCAGGTGTGGTGGCACATGCCTGTAGCTCCAGCTACTTGTGGGGAGGATCACTTGAGCCCAGGAGTTGAGTCCAGCCTGGGCAATTTAGCAAGAGTCTATCTCTAAAATAAACAAACAAATAAATAAATGTTTAAAGTCAAATGAAGATGTTTCTTTCTACTTCTTTAAGATGTGTATTTATCAGGATAATGGGCTATTCTGGCTCTATTCAACCATCCTGAACATAAAGCAGGTGCTCATGAGATGCCCATAAAGCAACTGTGACAGAACTTGAGAGTCTGGATCTCCCACCTCAAACTCTTACCACTTTATAAACTTGAGGTAAGTTTCTACAGACTTTGAGCATATGTTACCTTATCAGAAGAAGCTACAAAAAAAATACAATTTGTTTAGACTTTGGGGATATGTGGGAGAAAAAAAAATACAATCTGCATCAGCCCCCACCCCCTACCCTCCAAGGCCAAATACTCTGAAGGAAATCAAGCCAAACTTGACCATGCAACAGGATTCTCACCTCTTCTTACTTCGAAGATCCCAAGACCGGCAGCTGGGGATGCTGAAGGCTCTGTGAAAGCTGGAAAGCCCCAATGCTGTGGATAAATACACATCTCTGCAACAAGTCTATTTCAATACAAAGCATCAGATCCCCATGAAGGATACTAAACCTCAAACTCTAAACTCAAACTTTGGGATAACAGCTACCTATGTGGAAAGACAGTGACCCCGCAGAGCTTTCAGAAGGTATTAGAGCTACATTTATAAGGATTTTCATGTTCTCTGGTCATATATTTTTCCTCCTACGGAAGTTCACCTCCTAGAAACACTAAAATTTACCATATCTGAGCTTGGACTGAGAAAGATAGTCACCAAGTGGTGCCTCTTTGGGTGATTTCAGAATCCTAGTCTAGACAAGGAGGAAGACACTGGTAAAGCTGACAGTCTTCAGAACTAAGGAACTAAGGCTGGGCCAGGATTAGGGAAGGAGTTGGTTGCCACAAATCCACAAGCCATACTGCAAATGGCCACATAGATGAGGAAACACTTTCAGGATACTTCCAAGCCTGCCTCAAGCTGTAAGTCAAGGTAACTAAATTCCAAGTGAAACATCAACACATACCTATCATGCTTTTCAACTAATTCATATTCTCGAAAGGACTAAAAGTTGCAGAGATGCCCCTGTTAGTGATATCTTTTCCATAAAGAAACACCTGGGGTTGGAACCAATATATTCCTGTCTACTATTCCACACATTTAAGCCTTTCTTCTACTCAGATCCCCTGGGAAAAGGCCACTCACCAATTTATCCCACCACAAAGAAAACACTTTCGAAATGAAAGGGAATAAAAGCACTTTTATTTGAAAATTTCAAGTTGGAAGAAGAGCTCTCGGCCAAACTCTATGACCTAGCTAGCTGATTATTTACAGGATCTTTGGGCAGGAATTGTTAATGAGCTTTTAATTTGGAGTGCTTAAGTTGCCAAAGTGCTCTGAGCTCCAGTGAAGCACCACAGAATCCATAAAGGAAACCTTATCAATCACTTCCCGGCAGCTCCCTTCCCCCAACCCCCACCTCCTGAGGAAGGGCAGCCAAGTGGGTTTCTAACCAGGATCACAGACACACATTAGTGGAGTCACACTCCAAGTCCCTGTTTATAAATTGGCTTTTAAATGGTAGGAGATTCAGGTATAATAAACTTAAGCTCCACGCAAGAACCCACTAAAACAAGGCATGCTGTATCTGATAAAGTCAGAATAAAGCAGAATTTGATGAAGCCAATTTCTCGAAGAAACTCTATAATCAAAACTCATTTAGCCACTCACAACCTACTATGGTTTGAATAGTGTACTGTCTTTTAGCCAACAGGATTCATGTTTTGCTGCCCCTCCGCTGGACTGATGAAATGTCTGACAAGAGTAAATACCATTGAAGTGGCCAGAGACCTCTCGCAGACGCAATCAAGGGCACTATTCGTTGCAAAATCCAGCTCTAAAGACAAAATCCAAATCCCCATTGAAGAGCCCCACATCCAGCATCTTCCAAGTCAACAAGGAGCAGTTATATTTTGCAAGACCTCGCAGTCAAGCCTCAATCCAAGTTCATGCTTTTTTTTTTTTTTTTTTAAGAAAACACCTGTTGCTGGACCATTTGCAAGACAGGCAAACAGAAAGCTAGCCAGATTAGGCTCCTTCGTCACTCCTTTCACCGTCACTATTACCACCTGCAGATTTACACAGGTAAACTGCTAACCTGGTGTGTGTGCATGTGTTGAGGAGAGGGTCAAGGGAAATGTTCTATCTACAATCTCAAACCTTTTTCTTCTCTAGTAATCCCAGGTAAGAAGTCAACCCCCTTAATAAACTCACCCATCCTGTCTTGCAAAGCTCTGCCCCACTCCCCCTCCGCCAGAACGTTACTCAGTAGATTAAGCATACAGGGTGAGCACATGGGCCAGCACCCCAGGTTGCACAAACTCTGCGCACCGCGAAGCTCACCCCGCATGCATTAACCAAGGCCCAATCTTGGGGGGACCATTCAGCATCACCCACCCCGGGGTGTTGCCCCCAACTCGGGCCCATCCAAGTCCAGGGGAGGGTAAGGGGAGGGGCGGGGGGCCAGGAGACCAGCCCTCCTTCCCAGGGCCGCCCCCGCCCCCCGTCAGCAGCGGGAGAGACTGTCGCCATGGCAACGCCCCCTCCTCGGGGCCAGCGCGGCAGGCTCTCTCCAGGTGCAGGCCCCGACGTCTCCCTCAGCCTCAGCAGGCGCTCAGGGCAGTTGGCGGCGGCGGGCGCGGCCCGCGCCGACTGCGGCACCGGCCAGGCAGAGGCAGGGCCAGCTCCGCCCGCTCCCCACCGCCCGTTCCCGGCCGCCTCAACAACGGCAGCCAGCACCACGAGTCCACAACACACCGACTCACCTCCGCGCACTCTGACCCCGACCGACGCGGCGGACGGGCGGGCGCTGTGGCCAACCGCTGAGCTCGCTGCCGGCCCCTTTAACCAATGGGCTGCAGTGGGGCGGGGCTTCTTCTCCCCAAATGGTCGCTCTCCGGCCGACATGCGCGCTAAGCCATGTAAAGATGGTGACACCCTGCGGCCGGCCTTATGGGACTTGTAGTTTTGACGTTGCACGAACTCAGAAGAGAAGGCGGGGGCGGGGGCATCACTTCTGAGCTGCGAAAGAAATTTTTTTAAAACGAAACTTTCTACGGCCTAGAGCGTCTCAGGTCCCCCATCTCCGTTTTCCCGCCCTCTAGTAGGTGAATATGGGCTCACAAGGTGACAGATTCAATTTCATGACGCCTCATGAATCGTTCATTCAACAAGTAATTGTCATCTACTCTCTGATGTGGGCCTGCGGGAGACCTGAGATAAGGAGGGGTTAAGCTAAGAGGAAAATGCTTAGATTCCTGAAGGGCCGTCCTAAGGAAGATGGAACTGGCTCGTTCGGGTCCACTCAGAGGAAACTTCTGTTTAAAAGGCTTGCCTCAGCTGTGAGGAGCTCAGTCTCTCCAGTAAGCTGGAGAGGCCTGTGTTTCTTCATGCTGGTTATTCCTTTCTGGGTAGTCATGGGTCCCAGGCTATGAGCTGGAAAACCTCAGCCTTAGCCAAGCCAGTGATGGCTTTGACAGCTTCCCAACCGATCAGGACCCCATCTTCTGGGCCCAGCTTCAGTTACCAAGCCCCTCTGTGTGCTGTCTGCATGTTTACACTTAAGACGATGTCACTGACCGGCCGCGGTGGCTCTTGCCTGTAATCCCAGCACTTTGGGGGGCCGAGGCGGGCGGATCACGAGGTCAAGAGATCGAGAGCATCCTGGCCAACATAGTGAAACTCCATCTCTGTTAAAAATACAAAACTTAGCCGGGCGTGGTGGTGCGCCTGTAGCCAGAGGCTTTACTGACCTTGGGATACGTCTGTCCTCAGAAGGCTGAGGCAGGAGAATCGATTGAACCCAGGAGGCAGAGGTTGCAATGAGCTAAGATCACACCACTGCACTCCAGCCTGGCAACAAAGCGAGACTCTGTCTCAAAAAAATAAAAGATGTCGTTTCTGGGCCTACCACCTCTGAGATCGGACCTTAACGTAACAATTCGCACCTAAGCTGGGAGTGCCTGGTAATCCCCATATCAGGGAATGCCTTCCTTAATCCCACCCATGTAATAGGTTAGGTGACTCTACTGTGCACCTACAGCATTTATCATACTGTTTTATAATTATCTGTTTCCTTGTTGTCACTCCCACAGGGTTGTAAGCCCTTTAGGAAAAGCATTTTTTCCATATTGCTCATGTTATATCAGTAATACACAGCACAGTGCCAGGCATAAAGAAGGCCCGCAATAAATATCTGTGAACAAATGACGGAATAAACAGCAGCAGGGACAGACATATCCCAAGGTCAGTAAAGTAGAGGCACTATCCTCCAATTCTTGGAGCTGGAACAGATTCGCCTACTGTTACCTAGACATTAACCCCAGTTGGTCAGTCAGTCCACCTGTATTTATAATGCCTCTCAAGTGTCAGGCACTATTTCTGTTGCTGAGGATTCATTGATGAATAAAAACACACAAAACCTTTATTCTCAAGGAGCCTTTAAATTGGAGAGGGAAGTTGGGTGCCATGGCTCATGTCTGTAATCCTAACACTTTGGGAGGCTCAGCCTGGAGGATCCTTTGAGACCAGGAGTTCAAGGCCAGCTTGGGCAACATAATGAGATTCACATCTCTACAGAAAAATTTAAAATTAGCCAGGCATCGTGGCACGTGCTTATAGTCCTAGTTACTCAGGAGGCTGAGGTGGGAGGATCACTGGAGGCCAGGAGGACAAGGCTGCAGTGAGCCATAATAAATAAATTGGAGAGGGGCTACAGGAGGAAGAATAGATAATAAACAAGTACATAAATATAAAAATAAGACAAATAAGAGGCAATGAGATAGCTTGCTTATATACTGAGTTATGGCCTGAGAGTAGGGCACAGCCAACCTTGGCTGTAAGAATGAAGTAAATCTATAGTATCTGGATTCAAGGCTTTATTTAATGCCCAGCCCCAACATCCTCTGTGGAGCCTTCCATGGTCCCCTTTACTCCCCTAGAATGTGCTCTTTCCTCCTTAGTGCTCTAGGGCTCAACTGTACAGCTTCCAGGACTTCACCATACTGTAGGCTCTTTCTGTACAAAGATCAGGCAAATGCATCCACATAATAGAACAGTTTAACAGCTCAGTATACACTTGGTGCCTTACACTGCCGCCTGACCCAGCACTTGGCTTTCCCAAGCCGTGGCTCTGTTGTGTGCTGTCTGGTTCCCTAGAAAACAGAGCCTGGGCTGGGCACAGTGGCTCATGCCTGTAATCCCAACACTTTGGCAGGCCAAGGTGGAAGAATTGCTTGAGCCTGGGGGTTCATGACCAGACTGCTCAACATAGCAAGATCTCATCTCTGTAAAAGAAGAAAACAGAGCTGAGCTAAAACTTATGTGCTCAAATTTAACTGGGGAGTATAATCCCAAGGCATCAAGAGTGAGGGGAGCCAGGCATGGTGACGCATGTAGTAGTCCCAGCTACTCAGGAGGCAAGAGGCTGAGGCAGGAGGATCGCTTAGAGTCAGGAGTTCAAGACTGGCCTGGGCACGTGGCAAGACGCCATGTCTTAAATAAATAAGTAAATAAAAGAGTACGGGGAAGGGGAAAGTGCGGCAGGGAAGGAGGGAAAGAAAGTACAAGATAGTGTCTTACTGAGAAGTTTTCCAGCACCTCAAAGAAAATACAGCTGGTTGCTCTGTTGTACAGGATGTATAGAACCATCCTGTCTGACATGAAGGGTTGTGTTACCCCACCACTGCAATAGCCACAGGGGGCGCCAGATTCCACACCCTGAAGCACATTCATTTGAGACTAAAAACGGTGAGAGGAATGAAAGCCTCTGTTGGGTCAGATTAGGTCCACTGCAGTCCCACCATAGTGGGCACATTGGAGGCTGTGTCAAAACCTAACCCTCCTCCCAGGGGAAACGAAGATAACCAGAGGTGTTAGTAAATGAGGTGGGAGTGGCAGTTGGGCTGTTCAACAAACGAGTGGCCAATGGCCAGAGTTGGGGTTGCAGACGAGGCAAGGGCAAGTGAATTTGTGGAGGCTGATGAACTGAGTCCAACACACAGACACACAGACACCTTGGCTGCTGGATTAAGTGACTGAACGACAGTGAACACTGGGAGCAAGAACAAAAGAGAAGACCAAGTTAGGTCTTCTTATTCCCCAGCAAACCACCAGGAAACACAGCAAGGTGGCTATCAAAGCTAGAAAATCAGCTGCCAAAGCGCAGAGAATGCAGGACCCAAGGATAATGCATGGCAGCCCCCAAACCTTGGCACAGCTGAGAGAACCCAGACTGGGTCTGAAACCATTTTATGTGGCAACTGGAAAAACTGCCACTGCCATCGTAATCCCTATGAGCTATATAAGACAGCATAGGACGGTGGGCTCAGTCCTGGCTCCATCTGTGACCTTAGGCAAGTCACATACCTCTCTGAAGTTCAGTTTCTTCGTCTCTGGAATGTAAATAATACTAGTATCTACCTGTCATTGAAATTAAAAACACAACTGCTTAGCACTGCCTAGAATAAAGAGTTCAGTAAGTAGTGGCTATCACTATTATTCTCATCATTCCCCTACCCCTCTCTCTTGCCCCTCTTCCCACCATGACCACCACCACCTCCCCTCCTCTTCTCCCTAACCCTACCCCCCAGCAGTCTTCTGCTGCTCCGGGAGGAATCTGGCCATGCTGCCTTCTTCCTGCTTTTCCCCAGGGCTGTTCCCCAAGAGGCTGAGCCATTCATCTCCCTGGTGACCTGAATCTGAACTAAGAGATGGATGTGGGGTGGCTGAGGCCAGGGTGGTAATGTGCTCCCTTATCTCCGTGCCCCTCACTAGGGCCTAGTTAATTTTCCCTTTGATTTTAATATAGATTTATTGAAAGTTTCAGTTATCAAAACAAACTGCAGCAGCAAATTGGTGTTCTTTGCAGGCCTACAAGTGCCTATAAAGCTGCCATGCTCGGGAACGAATGGCGCTCTCCGGGAGGTCAGTCATGGCAACAGGAAGTCCCTGGGGACACACACACTGCAGTTTAATATTTTTCTTATTAGCCTTTTTCTTCTTGGCTATCTAAGCCTCCCCTTTAAATCGGAAATCAAATGGAGCCACCTGCCCAGGGAGGTTCTCTTCCTTAGGCTGTACCACTCTCTGCCTATGCTCTGTCCCCTCTCTAGTCCCAGGGCCTTTATTTCAAATCCTGTGACTCCACCCTGATTTGCCTTAGGCCCAGAGAGAGTCATGATTCACCTCCCCCAGAGGTGTGGTTCACAAATGTGAATTCCACACCTTTGTCCCAGCTGTACAAAGTCTGCTCGGGCTCTCCAACCACTAGTCAGGTGCAAAGCAGCCCTAGAAAAGATTGGGGCCCCAGACTTCTTCCATATCTGGTGCTCAGAAGGGAGGAAAAAGCAGTTTGAAACCAAAGGAGTTGCTTTCAAAGAGGCAGACGGTCCTGTCGGGATGTCTTGAACTAAACAGAAGTAAAAAGGAGACGGTGATCCTAGAGAGTGGGCAAGCTCTCTTTACAGCCCAAGATTTTTTCGATTTTATTCTCATAGCCCCAGTGCTACTCCCAATACTCCCCACCACAGCTTGACTTTTGAGGCTCCTCTCTCTGGCCCCAATTTGCCTCTCTAAGGACCAGCCAGCACTCTCTAGTGCTCCAGGGACTCCTGTAGCTCACTGTCACTTCTAGGCTCTGGAATCAATCCTGTCCCAGCAGAGAGTCTCCATGCCTAGACCTAGGCTGGACTGCAGTAGCACAATCATGGCCCATTCCCAAGCTCAACTCCCAGGCTCGAGGGATCCTCCCACC